CCCCCCTCTCTCTCCATCAAGTTATTTCATTAAAGATACATCTGTGTCGCATCGCGCTATTTCTTATTAATTCTGCTTCTATTTTATCTCAAATAGAAACCTTATATCAGAGTCGTCTGGTCGTGAGTGATTTTGTCAAAACCTACAAAACAGAAAAGTATATTGTATTTACTATACATGTATACTAATTTCTCCCTGTACATAATATCTCACTCTAACTTATACTGTCTCACTCTGTAATCTTAAGTAAGATTATAAAGTAAGACAATATAAGTTGGAATGAAATTTTATATATAGGATGTCCCAAAATAATCGTCAAATATTTCATGGGCAGGTAGAACGGACTAAACTGATTGTGAATCAAAAAGTCCTCTACTCTCATTTTGCAATTTTCGCAATTGTTTATTTTCTTCTCATAGAACTCTAAGAATTTTTTCAGAATTTTTTTAATACTATATTTTCTCATGTTAGCAAAAATAAGAAAATGCAGTACTAAAAAGTTGGTAAAAAATTCTGAAAAAATTCTTAGAGTTCTATGAAAAAAAAAAATAATTTTAGTCTTGCAATTTTTCTGTAAAGTTGGTAATACTTGAGTAAAAAATTATTGAAGATCAATTTTCGACAATTTTTAGTAATTAATATCTTATTAACTATTACGAAAATTGTAAAATGATAGAGGACTTTTCGTTTCAGTTTAGTCTGCTCTACCTACCCATGAAATATTTGACGATTATTTTGAGACACCCTGTATAACTCATTTAGTTGACTTAATTCATTTGTTTGGATATGGACAAACAAATCTTTGGTTAATGCAATAAAATAATAAAAATTGAAGCAAAACATTTGGTTATTGTAACATTTTACCTGTTTCTGATAAAAAAAATTTATCAGATGTTAATTGTTATCAGAAACAAATAGAATGCTAAAATAAACAAATATTTTGCTTAACTACATTATTTTATTGCATTAACCAAGAATTTGTTTACCAAACAAGATTTTAATTGATTTAACTAAATGAGTTTTTCAATGCATGTACATGGTGTGTATGTACATACATATACAAAGTGTCCCAAAATGACGCCAAATATTTCATACACAGGTAGTGGACTAAACCGAGTTTGCTGTCTAGAATTTGCTGTTACATAGCATAGAATTAGTGTTTATAGCAAAATTTTTTCTTTCCGTGAGAAAGATATCTCCATATACAGAGTATCCCAGAATTACAGTCAAATATTTCGTGCGCAGGTAGAGCGAACTAAACTGAGTCGAAAAGTCTACCATTTTGCAATTTTCGCAATAGTTAACAAGACATTAATTACTAACACTGAATATTGATTTTCAATAATTTTTTACTCAAGTACTATCAATTTTACAGAAAAACGACACGAGACAAAAATTATTTATTTTCATCTCATAGAGTTCTGAAAATGTTTTCAGAATTGTTTAGTACCGCATTTTCTTATATTGGTAAACATAATTGCCAATATAAGAAAACGCAGTAAAAAGTTGATAAAAAATTCTTAGCGCTGTATGAGAAGAAAATAAAAAATGTTTGTCTTTTGTAGTTTTTTTGTAAATTCGATAGTATTTGAGTAAAAAATTATTCAAAATCAATATTCGGCGATTTTTAATAATTGATGTCTAATTAATTATTGCGAAAATTGCAAAATCATAAGACTTTTCGACTCAGTTTAGTACATTCTACCTACGCGTGAAATATTTGGCGGCATTCTGGGATATCCTGTATATGGAGATTATACCTTTCTCACAGAGAGAAAAAACTTTGTTATAAATGCTAATCCTATGTTATGTGACAGCAAATTCTATTTACGAATATATTTTACAAATTCTATCTACAAATACAAAGAATGTAAAATTATTTCCAAGTGTAACAAATACTTATCTTTTTTGTACTCGTTACAAAAATTATTTGCAACAAATGCAAAATATTTGTTAAATATGCAAATATCTTTACTATGAATAGCAAACAAGTATGACAATTAAATTTTGCAAGTCTTTTGCGTTCATAACAACATTATTTTTCTCCGTACTCTCGTAGGATTTTGACAAAATCGCTCGTGGTCGAACTGTTACAGAATCTCGAGAAATATTATATGAAGAGCACTATTACAATTTTGTAATTGATAAATTTCCAATACGGATCGAGAAAATATATTCTCTCTCGAGTTCTCCGTGTATAGTTAGTCGCGCGCGTCGTTCGGTGCGCTTATCGCGCAAGATAACGCCACCGTAGATATCGAGCTCTCCTTGTTGCGAATAAACAATGCGTTACCGTGACAGATTACAGCTTACCACTCCCTGCCATACGATACGTTAAAGTAGTTTAGCAGTATGAACCATTCGTCTTCAAAAGGAAATATATATGTATTGCGAAGCAAGAATCTAGAATTCGATATTCGACCGTGGAATAGTCAACCAAGTATTTTATTTATTTACTCGGTTTTTCGCGTCGACAATGTCGCGCTGCGCTTCACAGAGTATCAATAACCTTATTCTTGAAAAGTCTCGCATACAAAAATACTAGAAAAATCTATAATATACAGTGGCTCCCAAAGTTTAGTTTGTATTACTTATAAGTTAAAAAATTCTTGTTCAACTCAAAAGCATGATATTTTAAATATATCAAGTATTTGTATATTAGATATTTATAAAGATTCTTTATAAGCGATATATTAAAATTACTCATTAGTCGGAAACTTTTGGCAGCTACTGTATGTAACGAATATTATAGTATTTTCGTACATTTTCGTATGCGTCATTTTTTAAAAATATAACCTCAAGAGATATATTTTTCAAAAATATCACGCATCAAAATGAACGAAAATATAGTATATGACGTTATGTACATTATTGGCTGCGTTCAGCAGAAAAAAAAGCAGCTTCGCAACTATTATAAGATTTTTTAACCTTTTAACCTGATTTTATTGGAACCATGTTAAAAATATTTTCTTTTAACTCAATTCATGCGCACTTTAATAAATAATTCACATTGAACAATTAATTTTTTTCAAAATTTTAATTATTTTTGCAACATATACAAGATGCATTCCGTTTCACGCATGATGTGCATAATGCATTATTTATCCTTGTTTAATATTCGGTAAACAACAAGGATAAATGATGAATCATGCGCATTGTGCGTAAAACGGAATGCAACTACATTATTATGTGCATCCGATCTCGATAATATCGATAAAATTAAATAATTTTAATGAATATCTTCAAATGTGTGATGTACATTACAATGTCTGCAGAATCTAAAGGGACGAATACAATTGATTTATGCTTAGCTGCGTTCAACGAATGGAGAAAGCCAGCTTTGCAACTACTGTAAAATTCTTTAACATAATTGATTTATACATTTAGATCCAGTGAAGAACTAAACACAAAATCAATCGTGTTAAAGAATTTATTTTTACGACATTTGCAAAGCTGCTTTTTCTGCTGAATGTAGCCACAGATGTCTAGTACTTCTGTAAAGCCACGACTACATTCCAAAGCGTCCTCTCCGAGGAAAATTTTACTCGAAATGTATAGTACACGTAACGTATACTATATTATATCGAGTTAAAGTTTTCCTTGGAGAGGACATTTTGGGATGCAGCCCTAATGCATTTTTCGAGAATAAGGCTCAGGAGTACCATCGAAGTCTCGAGCAAGGAGTCAACTCGAGGAAAGCGTAAAAGATCCCGAAGTATCGACTCGGAGCTTCCGCGGTCGCGTGCAACCATCGCTCACGCGGCTGACGCGGCACCGCACCGCGCCGCACCGCACCGCACCGCGCCGCGTCGCGTCGCGTCGCATTGTCGCGACGTATAACCTCCAAAAGCGACCACGTACCGCTGTCGGTGCCACGGCGTACGAACGCGCTGGAATGTTACGCGTTGAGAAAGAAGGAATGCAAGAATCGAGACGTCGCCGCTCGTCGATGATCCGTGATCGGTGACGGTCACGAGCGAGCGCGGCGCGATGGAGGGACGCGAGGTAAGAACCGACACGTCGACCACCGACGACGACGACGATGACGACGGCGGCCGGAAATACGGGATTAACTCCCCGCGAAGAAAAGAAAAAGCGTATCCCTCCGCGACGACGCGCCTCCGTGATGCGTGACGTCTCGGCCTACGGCGCGCGCGATTCCGCATCTCGACCGGCGAATTCGCGCGCGTCCGCGCGACGGAAGGCGATTCTCAACTTACTTGCACTTGCGTAGGCCGCAGCCAAGGAAGTCCAACGTGGAACACACCGGAACGAATTCTCACGCACGAACACGATACGAAACTTCGGTAGTAGGCAATCACGTCGCAATGGCGAATCGCGGGTGCGTTGTGATCACTGTGATCGTACGCTGCCGCCATCTCGCGGCGCGGAGCGCGCGACGCCGAGCCATTGGTGGAGCGCGGCCAATCGCGGGGCGGCGCTGTTTTACGCGGGAAACGCTCCGGGCGCCGGCCGCCATGTTGCGAGGCCGCATTTGAATCTGCCGCCATTTTCGACAATATGCTAATCGCGGAGTAGTTTGACCGGGAAATAAAAAAAAAATCATATAACATTGTCCCTATCACAGAAATATAAAAAGTAAACATTTTTATATGTATATACAACTACTCGGCGGATATTTGAAATATTTTTATTTGAAAAACTGTATTTGTAAGACAATTGCAGTTTGTATCTTGTATTTCAAATACTAAGATTGATAATCAATTGTATTATTTGAATTACTGTTAAATCGCAAAAAACTTTCAATCTTTTGATTTTAATAAATACAAAATACGTAATACTTCTATGTGCTTCGCTGAAATACAAAATATACTTTTATTGCAAATACTGTTTTATATAAAAGTATTTCAAATATACATAACTCTGTATGTATGAATGTACATATATACATACACTCTGAGAAAAGTTTTCTAAATAATTAATTTCTCGAATAGTTTCAAGTAAACATTTTTTTATTGCAAGTAAACCGTGATGAAAATTTCTCTCAGAATTTTTCATGTAATTTTTCAAAATTTCTATATTATTACTAATTTTATAACTTTCTCACATTTTTTTGTATACAAATTGGAACATTTCTCAGAAAATCTACATCTTTTCTCAGAATTTTTCATATATGTTAATTATGAAATATTGTAAGATTTCTAAGATTCCTTTTTGGTAAATGGAATTTCTGATGAAATGTTATAAAATCTAAAAAATTAAAAAATATTTTTTTTTAAATTATGGAATGAAAAATTTAAGAATATTTCAGAATTCACTTGTATAAAAAATTCTGAGAGAAGATGTAGACTTTCTAAATATTTCTGAAAAATATGTTCCAATTCATATAAAAATTATGAGAAAAATTTTCATCAGAGAACATTTCTTTACTGCAAGTAAATATTTATTAAATGTAGTAATTTAATAAATATTTAGTTGCAGTAAAGAAATGTTTACTACTAGTAACAATTCAAGAAATAAATTACATTCAGAAAATTTTTTTTTCAATGTGTGCATACCAAAATTTTTACTTTTCACGTTTCCGTCTAAGGAAAAAATTATACATGATTTATCCACTGGATTGTGTATAATATCATGTAACCTGATAGAAGTTATAGAATAAGCAAATTCACGAGGTATAATAAAATTATAAATATTTTAATAAAATAAACTCACTCATTTTTGTAATTTTCATCAAATAGTGTGATACGATATCCAATCCTCATTCCTCTTTTATTAGATCACGCTTTTTGGATTTAACATATAAGATACAAGTTTAATGGTTACAGGGGAATTAAGAAAAATAAATGTAAAAAGCGAAATAAGAAAAATAAATGTAAAAACTAGAGAGGATCAACAATCACTATTCAATAAAATAAAATCAGAAATGTCGTAATAAAATTGATTTGGAATATCAAAAATAAACAAACAACAAATTATCGAAGACAACACAATTAATTGATCCAGTTAATTTATAAAACGATTATTATTTGCATGTACCTGATGATAATCAGTTCTCGTTACTTTGAATCCTTCGTCTCGTTACGCCTCAAAAAATAAGTATGAAGGACGATTCCAATGGACTCTTCCAGGCCTACTGAGAGATCGCCGATATCGCAGCGATCGTTGTTGCACGTAATGTCCAACGAATCTCGATGAATGACCGACATTTCACGAAACCCCCATAAAATCCTTGTTTGCGCACGCGAAACGTTGCTTCCAAATGGCAAACAATGGCGAGAAATACAGAGCAACACGAACTCGACCTCGCAATTCGCCGCAATGCAATCTGGATTCAAGCTCGAGAATCGCAAGAATCCGTTGAGACGCGAGAAGCAGCCAACTTCAACGCGATAATTATTTAAAACGTGGATCGAAGCAAAGGTCAAAAACATTTACATATAATTGTGATGCAATTTATATTATAGAATATATGCAGAAATTTTACGTACATTATTTTTATAAGATAAGAAAAAAACCAAGGCTAATGAAAATAAAAACATGTAAACTTTTACTTCTTTAATCCAGGAAAAAATAACATTGTTTTTTGTGCACTGTACTCTCATTAGTCCTTGTTCTTCCTATATTTTTTAATGTAAGTCTAAATCAAGTGCAATTTGAAAAAAGTACAATTATTTGTAATATCAATATATCAGAGATAATCGAAATGAGCTGCAATCGATGCCTAACATCGTTTTTTACATAATCGAAAACAACGTTGAAACATCAATTATTGATTCTATATCCTAAAATATAAGATAAAAATTACAAAAGTGAGCGAATTTTTTTTCTTTTTTTTTACTACAATATTTAATTTCATTGATCTAATAAATTTGATCACTTTTATGATTTTCACCTTGTTTCAAAATACAAACTCGATCCCCAGCATGGTAATTGCAACCTCTACCGTGTCTCTCCTGTTACCACCCATTTAGCAGTATTTAGCTCACTGCTTTCTACTTTGGCCGCAGTTTCTAGGAGGGCGTTAGTATACGGTGAAATTGCGAGCTATACAATCTTCCGTAAGACCGACCTTTTCATTAAGAACGTCATTACATTGTCGGATAACTTTGAATCCGTTGAACAATTATAACAATTAACATCGAGATGAATAATGATTTTCTTCAAAATTTTGGGGAGTTTGTTGATCGATACGCTGGTAATTGTTTTAGCAGTCTACTTTTTCATATAACATAAAATGCTTTGGCGTTTCAAATTTTATGAAATTTTGAAAAATAATAAAGCTTATCACTCTGTCCACTTAAAAAAAAAATGAATAAAAGTGAACCGAGATTACAGTAAGTTCGGTCACTTGCGTTTCACTAAAATTAGTGCATATTATGCTGCTACATGAAATAATGGCAAAGATATAAATATAAAAGCGTATATAAATATTTTAAATAATTAAATCCCCAATAATGATATTGTCATATTATAATAATAATAATAATAATTAAAATATATAAAACTCAAAATCAATAATAAAAAGTAAAAGGGCATAGGAATCAGATGCGGAAATTTGTAAAACCGTTAAAAACTATTTAATAATACATAATTAGATTCACGTATTTACATTACATTAACATCTAAATCTGAAAATTAATGTAATTATGTATTATAAATAGTTTTTAACGGTTTCTGTAATTATAGCCTGACTCTTATACTCTTATAATACTTTTTATTAATGATATTAATTGTCACGTTATTCGATAAAATGTAGTATTTCTTAATATAAGAGAAAAAACTCACGATAATAAATAACAATTAATCTGTAAAAAAATATATTTCATTGTCAAAGTTGATTATATGATTATATTTGCATTTTAGATACGTTATACAAAACAACTTTTTTTAATATGCACTAATCTAGTGCGAATAATCCTTTAATTATTTAAAGATTTATCCTTTGATAGAAAAATGCATTTCTACCAACATGATATAGATTAACTTTAATCTTGATTTAATTTACTTATCTTCTTCCAATTTTTAGAATTAGAAAAAGATAAAAAGTAAGTCAAATCGAGATTAAAGTTAATCTATATTGATAGAAATAGACATAATCGATCAGAGATATGATTTGTATGCAGTGTCTAGCGAAATCGAAGTAATGAATGACAACGATCTCAAGAATGAACTCTGTCAGATTGAGAAAGAAATCAATTGTTATAAGCCAATGTTGCAAAACTACCGCAACGAGTACGAGAATATAGAAACGGAAATTTGCGACGTCAGGCAATTGCAGCGGAAAGCGCAATTCGTGTTGGATAATGTGAGATTGGAGGAGGAGGATCTTTGTGAGCGTTTGAAGAACATACATCTCAACTACAAGGCGTGCATAGAAAAATCGGGCTACAAAGATCCAAACGAAATGATTCGTATAAAGATAAACGAACTGACGACGCAGAGGAAGAACCTGCTGGAAGAACTGGTACAAATGAAAAGAAAAGCAGATGACAATAGAAAGAAGCTCGCTCGTGTAAATGCCATGATCGCAGAACAAGAAGTAATTAATTACAACACTTGCTCATTTTAAACGTACTTGCAATTGTTACAAAAAAATTTTCATTTTGTAGAAAAAGAACGTGATAGATATTCAAGAATTGAAGGAGATTTCCGAGAACGCCGTATCCATTTCGCCAGATATAAAGAAACAGATAGATACTGTTTTGAAAAATCTCAAGAAATAAATGAAAGTGATGGCTATTAACAATAAGTTATTAATAAAGTTTTTCTATGAATATAAACCATTTGTACATTAGATACAAAAATATTGAAAATACTATAAACATAAATTTGATATGTATATAATTAATACATATCTAATAAATATATTTTTCGCTATTGTTTTATTTAATAGAAATATTTTTAATAGAACCTATTATATCTCCTTAATAAAAATACATTATATACACATTATATAACACGGCGAGATTCCAAAATCCATCGCAGAGCTACTCATTTTCAATAGTTTTAAGACAAGTCGTCAGCTGTTCACAAGTTTTCTCTAATCGTTGCAGTACGTCTGGCGCGCAATTCAGAATTCTCATCACGTTGTCATTTGTGGCACGTATTCTCGATCTACTCTCCGCGATTGTACTCATTAAGGTTTCGTTCTCCCTTTCCATCTCGTTCACCTGTTCCTCCAATTCCTTGATCGCCTCTTTGATCTTGTGCGCGTCCAACGATCTCAAATGCGAGGTTACATCTCCCGGTGGACGCCTGCAGTCAGATGATGATTCTCAAATAAAAGATTACATTGAGCTGCAATCACGAAAGGATTTTCTAACAAACTTATTACCTACCACGCATGTTCGTTAGCGGACGTGTTCTCCTCGGACAATTTGGCTATTTTAATGAAGTTTTCCTGCAAACTGCCTTCCTTTAATATATCCTCAAAATCATTGTTCATGCTGCTGTATAGCTCCTTTATCATAGCCTCGTGCAGCTTTCGGGCGACGTTGGGCTTCGACTTGAGAATCGTGAGTGTCTCGAGAAACTCATTCTCACTGAAACAAAAAATATAACAAAACGATTTATTAACCCTTTTATTAGTAACTCGTAAATAATTAATCTGTAATTAATCCTTTTATTGTCAATCCTTCAACCCTATTAATTTATTATTAACCCTCCGACTGCAATCTGGGTCTTTTTTGTTCAATTCTAATTTTTTTTATAGTTTTGGGCTCACAAAAAATGTGAAAAAAATGTAGGATTATTTTTCAACATCTATATTACATTATCAAATCATTTTTAACTCAAATGTTAAAACATTTATTCGATAAAAATTCAGCAAAAATAAGACAAAATGAAAATTTATTGAAAAAAGTATAACTTAGCAATAAAGAAACCGGACTTTACTTTTCTCTTTATTCCAGAAAAGTTGAGAGTGAAATTTTGCTTGTACCAAAAAGACTCAGACTGCAAATAGAAAGTGCGAATGAATATTGCGTCTCTGTATCAAATCAGTAGCTCGTATAAACATATAATAGTTATCATATTTCGAAATAAACACGACCTTATCTAAGATTAACGACATCCGGAAATATAATACTGCGCACTGCTGCGTGGCAATTCGAATTATTCGCTGTATCTTGTTTCGCAGAAAAGGCGCCTTATCGATCTGGACGATGTACGCGTGGCTTACACTTGCAATATATGGTGTGAGAAAGACACGTGCTTTTACTCCGACTTTCCAACGCACGACCGGATGCGCGTTCCCCCGTATATGATGCATAGTTAGTACAGCCGGTCACAGAAAGGTTTCAACACTTTATATGGATTTCAAAACTCAGCCTTGTAACCGTAGAACAGTTGAACGTAAAGTTAGATCCATAAGATAAGAATCAATTACCGAAGCAGAACAACAAGTCATTATAATATCAAAATGGTGTCAAAATGACTCTAAAATGATCATTAAAAGTCATTTTTCAATCATTTCTGATTCATTTTAATGTCATTTTGACGTTATCGTAACTTATTGTTTTGCTTGAACATTCGGCGAGCAAGCTTACATTCCAAAACTCATCGAAAGAAAAGTGTTGCAACCTTTCTGTAACCGGCTGTACATGACGACTATCGCCGGGGATCGAATCTTTTTTTCTTTATCCTGACGCCAGAACAAAGAGCAGCGGCATCTTCAATTACAGGGGATGGAATTCTGAACAGTTCTAATCAACTTTTTGCCGTGTTATAATAAGCATACAATAGTACAATCCAATCTCCTTATTCAGCTTCTGACGTTTTAAAAATACGCCAGAGGATATTACGTTTATTTCGAAACTCGCGTAACATTCCATGTACCATGCTGTCTACATAAAAACGTCACGTTATTAGACTTACCCAGGATCTTTATATAGTGTATAGGCTACGTTGTTTCTCGCGTACTCAATCAGGCCGGGACTGGTGCAATTTGAAATCAATGCTACATATTTGCAATAGTCCAGACCTAACTAAGCACGCTTCCGTTTCCGATAATCCAAGAGCACTGTTAAATCCATAATGTTAGATTATGATGTTAATCACCCAATTTGAGTTATTTAATAATTTCTGTAGGTTTCGTCACTATTCCTATTCAATATGTCGTTAATTTAACTCAAAAAATTTCTTAAGGAGGTTCTCGCGTTTGATAAAATATAAACAAGTCTATAAGATACATGCAATACAAAAATTAATATCAATATGTAGAAAAAATTTCGTTGACTTTTATCATACCATTTTGAAGATGTTTAATTCTAAATTTATAGAATTTTACGAGTTAAAGATATAACCTTATTTTCTTTTAAATTAAGATACTTGATATTGTTAGTAATCTTTTTATTCCATTGTTTTAATTGTTTTATATATTATTATAAATAAACTGTTCATTAACTAGGAAATAGCGAGAACCTCCTTAAATTTGACTCCAATTTAATTTATTACATAATATTAAATAAAAATATAATTTATTATTTACTAACATAAGTGCACACGTTAATATGGATATTGTTTATCTGGAAACTAAAAAATTCAACTAAAAATGGAATGATTTACATTTTGACATTTTTAACATATATGAAGTTAAAAATAACAAAGTATTCTATAATTCAAGATTGGGTTACTATTATTCCTTAGATATCTAACGATGAGAATCCATTCGTCCATCCAAACTTACTGACGCATCCACATTGTCTTTTAAATCACGTACACAAAATCGAATCAACAATCGACATATGAGATTAAATTTCGTAAATATCACAAAATAAAATTAATAATTAATATCACTTTTAACGCTCGTATAACTTACACACAATTAAATATAGAAACCACCCAGGTCACAAATTAAAACGAGCTATATATTATGTGTTTATTCAAATCTATAAGCTTCACCGTGAAACTTATATAGATTTGAATAAAATATTACCACATTGTACACCTAATATAGCTCGTTTTAATTTGTGACCTGGGTGGTTTCTATATTAAATTTCGTATACAAGAAATCTTTCTCAACAATCCTGTAGCATTGAAACTTTTAGCGTTAAAACTTTTAGTTTAGAAATAACGACGACTGTATATGTAAACCGAAGACGAATGTACGACCTGCGGCGTTTGAGTGATGAAAGAATCAACTGGCTCTGCTACGGGAGAGAGTACGGAGCACGCACTCGTGCGTGCGTGCACGATTCCCGCGACACGCAGCACACGAATGACCACCGCCCCCGCGCCGGTCACCATGGCAGGAGGCCTTTGTTTCCCCGAACGCTTCGTGGAATTCCTCGAAGGTCAACTGGTGGAGCCGTGTGAAGAAGGCCTTCCTGGAAACGATGCTGAAAGGAATCGCCGTTTCAGCAAAGATCGAGAACTCCGACGATGATCACGACTCGAATTCGAACGTGAACATACGATGGCCACGTGAACGGCCACGGCGAGTCGGGAATTAACATGCGAACCGCGGAGGCCAATGACATCAAGTAACACCAAGTGGCGTTTAGGTCATTGACGATGCCGATCCCTTCCACCAGTACATACATATTATCTTGATCTTTCCATCTTGACTCTCTCTGCCTCGCTACATCAATAAATCACGAATCGCCTTCTCACAAACAGTGGACCGCTAGACTACACGTAGAGGACAGTGTCTTACTCGATGGTCTTTCTATTTATTTATCTAAAACATAATTTTAAATATTACCGATTTTTATAAAAATGATTTCCACATCTCTCAGTACGCTTTTAATTATACAGGTTTTTAGCTGATCTTGCATTTTTCTTTTTTTTTTCTTCAACGTGGAAAAAAAAGATAGATAAACCATACAAGAAGTTGAATGAAAAAAGGGCCTAGAATATTCTTAAAATGAATCCCTAAAATTACAAAATTTTTCGCACGTATACATTGATTCGAACATCGTGCATAGGGAAATTTTATAGAACAAAAAAGGTTGAGAGATATTATTCAAATTTACACTGAAATAAGATTAAAATTACAGAATCTGAAGTTATTTCTTAATTAACATGCTTATATTTTTCGCTTAAAAAAAAGAAAATATTAGAATATTAGAAGCAATCTAAAATCCCCGAAAAACTGTAAACAGAGATTTTTAGACCCAAGAGATTCTCTTCGTGACCACGTGACGCACTTGACATACTTTCGGTAGCGGTACTGTTATTGCGTGGGCGTATATAAATCGCGATTTTTGTGCATAGCCAGACATTGAAATTAAAGACGTACAGACGAGGTCTTTTCACAGCCGAATGGGGGAGGAAGAAAAACAAAAGAAAAAAGTCGATAATAATCAAGAGCCAAAAAAAAGATATCATATAATAAAGGAAGCTCTTACATATTTTTCTGCCCATTTTCTACCAATGCAGTTTAATTTTAATCTCGGTTCAACTAATTTTTCATATTTCTCTAGTTCTAAGAATTTCTAGAAAGATGAAAACATAGGTTGAACTGGGTTGAACAATGAAATTAAAATCAATTTGATAGAAACGGGCATCAGAGAACAAAAAGTTTCTAGCGAGATTACCAGAAGTTGCGAGAACGTAGCTTCTCCTTGCTCCAACTTATCGGCTTCTAGCGGGAAGAAAAAACGCGGGAATGCCAACAATAAGAGGTTAAGTTAAGCGCGCGAAGTTGCGCGCGAAACCGAGAGAAAAGGCGCGTGTTCTGTTGACTGTATACAGCCAACCTGGCCAACGTCACTCACCTAACAGACTCAGCTATGTTTTTCAGGCTGTTGGAGACGGCGATTCGGAACAGCCGCGCATTATTCGGACAATCCGCTTCCTCGTCCTCTCTCATTTCCCGGCGATTCCTCTTGTTCGCGCGGGAAAGGCGATCAACGATGGTCAACAATGCCTCATAATAACAGTTAACACTTCTCGCCACTTCTCGCAACCTTGCTCACCCAAACCGTCGCCAACGTCCTCGCGTCTCTACAAGATTTGAATTGCTCGGTAACTGCGTCGACGCGTCGTTGGCTTGAGAGCCTGATGGTAATTGAAGAACACTGACATTATCGACTGTGACTAAATAAGGTAAAATTCTTGTTATTTATCTTCGGAACAACCGAAACAGTTTACATTTAGATTATAATTAATATTTAATTAAGACGTAAATGATACATTGCGGAGGATGTATAATACGTATATCGCGTAAAAAACGTATACGTGATAAAATATATACGTAACAGGCAGGATTGTAGTGCTAAGTTAAAAAGATAAAAGTTAAAAAGTTAAAAAGTTAATTAATTTTAACTTAACTTAGTTACATTTTATCAGTAACTATTAATTTTTAATTTGATTTTTTGAAGTCAATCCTTAGATATAATGCGAGAGGCTAATGAGTATATATATAATTTAGTAATTTTATATTATATAATCGTTACTTTGTGAACAAAAATAGCCAGATATTTTAATAAATAAGCTGTAAGAAAGGAAAATTACGAAAAATTATGTAAAATAGTCAAACATTTTCTTTCTTTCTTTTTTGGTTGTTCGTTTGAATCAAATTTAACTTTTAACTTTTTAATTACTTTTTTTATTAACTTAATTTTTAATTCAATTAATTTTATTATGGATTAACTTATATTTTAATTAAATTCAATTTTCAAAACTGTTAACTTTAACTTAACTTTATAGTTAAAAATAAAATTAGCTTACCAACCCTGGTAACATGATATAATATACACCTACAAAAACCATGACCAATAAGTTACATTTAATATATGTATAATTGCTATTGCAGAGTGGGCCATTTGAATCATCTATTGCGGAATTTGAGATGGATCAAGCAGAATGACCGTTGAGCCTAAATGAGATCGAACATGGTTGAGGTCATTTAACCACATTCAATCACATACATAATCCAATCACAACAAATACAAGATTCTTACTATAAGACTGTCCTGTAAGATCCAATTATGGATACCACCCAAGTCTGTTTTTCAAGAAAACATTTTTTTTCATGAGGTCAATGCATGAAAGCATCTTGAAACTAGATTACTATGCTGAAACACAGTTTTATTTTGTATCTGAGTCTGTACAAACTATTGAATAAAGACTTTTGATAGTTAAACTATGCTTACCTATTGTAACTTATCAGATTAGGGACAGGAAGCGCGTTATTCGCCAGTATCCGACTACCAGATTCTCCATGAAGATGCTAATCTATGTTCTATTTTTATATAGGAATCATATCGAAAAAAAGTGCGGAAACGGAGGGAACTGAAGAATTATTTGCATTATTAATTCGATTTCGGAATGCGATGAAGACAAATTTGATAATAAATTCTATTTAACAGCAAAGAATTAAAGTTATGCAATTTGCTAAAATCTTAATAAAAATATTATAAATCAATTAACACAGGCATAATATAACTTCAACAATTAATTTAAATAATCTCTTGAATACAAAGCTAACAACACTCCGTAGCTGATAACTGAATTAAAGTTACACTTGCAAGCTCTATACGTATGTAGAGACAAAATCACAGCATACAGATAAATGGGATACGTGATATTTCATCCTTCTTGTCACCAAATATTAAACAAAACTGAGATGATATACACCAGCGTTACGAACGTTAAATGGAAAACACTCCTAGTGCACATATATATAAAAAAAAGGTTTAAATTTGTGGTAGTTTTATTATAACATTAATATACAATAAAATATACAGATGAATGAGTGATACGCTTTCATATTACAAGTTTTGCAGATAATACTAAATAATGACAATATTAACATTTTCTTGTCTACAACAGTAGACAATAGTAGACAGATACACTACACGAATCTGGATGCAATCGCTAATAGTTTAGTATAATCTGCTCCTTTGCTGTGAGTCTTTTCTTTCATTTTTGTTCGGAGTATGTGTGGAATAGGCACCTGTATTCTTGTACCTAGAGGTGTGCCGTTGTCGTCTATGAGTACCAGATTGTTGCTATCAAACTTGGGAACTTTAGGGGCCTGTTGCTGTTTCAATCCAACCAATATACCCTTTTTCTTTTCACCTCTTATAGCAACTAAAATTCTATCACCTGAATAATATGTATAGCAATGTTTAGATAAATTTCCTATAAAATGATAATATCTTTTATGTAGTCTTTCATTTATTGCCTCACCGATGTATCCCACCCCAAGCTTGTTGTAAACATGTATGCAACGTGGTGGTCTACCCTCCATCATAGCTTGCCTTCCTATCTCGCTGTTGTCCACTACTCTCAACCGACTCAATTTAATTATCTGATTCACAGGGGTTGAAGTAGAAATATTTCTACTTGCAACATTTAATGCCGCAAAAGGTGTCAACATTATCGTTATAATTTCCCTTTAGGATAATCTGGAACATCAAATAATATAAAATTACTATAATTATTTAAAATACGGACTGCATCTCTGATTTTTTGATAAAATTAGGCTTATTCGACGCGTTTTTGCTTGAAACAAAAGAATCTGTAAGAAAAACGTTAGGTTGGTTTCGTGAACCGAGATATTAAGCCTTAAATTCGACAACTATTTAGGTTGGAAAAACTATCAAAGCGACGAAATGTAGCGACACGACTGGTTATGTCTATGTGCCGCGGTCATGCACAACATGTAATTGAGGCAAGAATAAGCATTTTCTGTTTAAATTGCACAAATTCTCTTCTAGAAAAACATATTCTCTGCTTTAAGAATAAACACATTATTCGCTGTATAATTTTTATTTTTACAGCAGATAATTTGTTTTAAAAACACAAATTCTGCACTTTAAATTCCAAATGCTTTGCTTTAAAAACAAATTTTCTACTGTAAAAACAAAAATTATATAAAAAATATGTATTTTTAAGGCATAGAATGTGTTTTTATAAAGCAGAGAATTTGTGTAATTAAAGTAGACAATACTTATTCTATCCGTTCTAGCCTCAATTATGTTGTGCATGACCGCGGTGCATAAACGTGTCCAGTAGTCCAGTCGTGTCGCTGCATCAGCTGCATGGCTGCATCTCGTCGCTGTGACAGATTTTCTAACCTCAATAGTCATCAATTTCAAAGCTTGATATCCCGGTTCGCGGGGCCGACCTAACGTTTTTTCTTACAAATTCTTCCGTTTCGAGCAAAAACGAGTCTAATTTCGTTCGGAAAATCAGAGGAGCAATTCGTATTTTGAATTATATATATTTATCGAAATTACGTATTCAGACACAAATTCGAGCGTCGCGAAAAATTGTCGAGGCACGGCACGTCACTGCGACTCGCGGACTTTTACCGTTTACGTGCAGTGCGTCCACGCTTCGCGTAACAGAGAACGAGAGCGAAAGGAAGCACAGAAGAGTACACTGCTGATTGTAGTATTATGTACATACATATCTAAATAAAAGCCGTCACCTTCCGCAACCGGAACGACGATCAAGTGAGAAACTGATCTCAATGATCTCTCGCGGACGTCGCAAGACTTTAAGCGGGGAGCATAGACTCTTGCATAACGCATAACACGTAATGCATAAGAATATGTACCAATCGAAGTTCTCCGTTTCTTTCCCTTCCATGTAATAGAGAACTCTGGTTGGTTCAATTTCTTATGCCTCGTGTGTTATGCGTTATGCAAGAATCTGTGCTCCCCGCTTTAAAGGCCGCAGCATACACTTTTGCATAACGCATTATGCATAGTGCATAAAGAAATCAACCAATAAAAATTCTTCTTTCCCATGGAATGAGAGGAAAGGAAAGCTTCTGATTAGTTGATTCGCTTATGCATTATGCGTTTTGCAAGAGTGTGTGATGCGACCTGAAAGCTTTCTATCTTTCGGTATATAATTCCACGTATTTATACCAATCGCTATGCAAATACCGACAGTGATAATAATCGAGCTGATGCTACCAACTGTGGTACCTACTCCATTGTCCATCAGTCCATGGTGATTTCCTCCACCATGATCAATGATGAATAATGAGAGTGACTCATCATTCTTCTTTCCACCATGATGGCGATCATGGCGACCGTTAAGTAAACGTGTTGCGAGATGCTGAGTACGTTT